GGTGATGAAGATTAACAATTATTATATCTTTATATTTAATCATGTAATAAATAAAAATTTAAATTTCATTTTTAAATAAATTATTATTATTTTTATTCCTAATAACTCCTAATTAGGAAACACTATTGCACACATTTTTTTTATTAGTCTTTAACTATTCAAAAAAAAATATTTTAATAACAAGAACTCCCCTAACAAATAGACGATTGTGGATGCCCTAAGCAATTTTCCAACACTTATCAATGATCTCGTATGGCCCATAATACTTTGGTGCCAACTTCTAATTAGAACAAACAACAACAAGAGTTCTGTATGTCTCCAATATTAAAACTTTTGATAATCAGTAATATAAATCGTACATCACATGTTTAATGAAGGTTATTTATATATAGTGTATATGTTTAAAATTAATATATATTAGAATAGATGTTTTTCTTTGTTTTAAAAAGTTGTTTCCAAACAAAAGAAAAAGTCGTACATACTTTTATTTTATTTTCTAACAATAGATTCAATAAAATTACAATCTCTTCTTGACCGTTTATCTTGTGAAAGGGCTTACTTCCTTTTTAAGAGATTTTCTTCTTAATCTTTTCAATATGGAATTAATAGTATTTCCATTTTTCATATAAAACTGTACAACTACTCGCTGAAAAATGGACAAGCGTAATTAACATCAATCCCCTATATATTAATCTTGGAGCATTACAACATTTAAGTGTAGCCATATGTCATCATTAGAATTATTTTTAGAATCCTTAGAAAAGTATATTGGTTCATCTAAATATAAAGAATACTTCTTATTAAATTAACAATCAAAATGATTTTTAGTGCATAAATAATATTCTTCATTCTTTCCTTAAGTAAAAGCTACGGAATCACCTAATATGATTAACATATATATGATAATTAATGATTTTAAATAATAAAGATTTGATAATAGTTTTTGTATCCTCCATCATTTTTATTTAATTTATATTATTAAAAATAAACAATCACATTAATCATATAATAAAAAACCTATATTTCCTTATATGTTGTATTTAAAATTTTTAAAACGACTATAATTACTACACATGTTAAAAGTATTACAATGACAATTTTGTGAACAATTGTTTTATTTTTTTGTTATAAAAATATAGAAATCCCTATATATTAATCATAGAGCATTACAACATATTTCCGTAGTCACGTGTCATCAGTAGGACAATTTTCAGAAACTTTATAAAAATAAGTTGGTCCATATAATTATATATTATATGTTTTATTAAACTTATTATCAAATTAGTTATTAGTGTACAAAATAATATTTTTTCTTTCCTTAAATAGAATCTACGAAATTACCTAATATGATTAACATATATATGACAATCAATGATTATAAACAATACATATTTGATAACAATTTTTGTATCTTTTTTTGGTTTAATTTTATATGATTAAAAATAATTGAACAATCACATTAAGCATATAATAAAACAATTAGCTTTTCTAATATGTTATATTTAGAACTTGAAACGACTATAAATTACTAAAAATGGTAAAACTCCCACATTGAAAATGTTTGATCAATGGTTTAACTTTTTTTTGTTTGAGTAAATTACAAATGATTATAAATCCTATGAATATGAAGTCTCATTAATAGATATTCATATTAATTATATATATATATATATGTATATATCAGTATCATTTAAATTAAATTATATACTATATATATAACAGTATCATTTAAATTAAATTATATACTATATAAATATGTTAATTTTAAAATTCGCATTGGAAATTTATTGAGATTTTAATATTATAATTTTGAAATTCGTATTGGAATAATCTCACATTAAATATTTTTGTGATTTATTTAACTTTTTATTAGAGAAAAATATACAAATGTTAATAAAATCATACGAGTAGGAAGGGTCAATAATAAATATAAATTAAATATAATATATATATATATATATATATATATATGTCAATATCAATAACGTTTAATTATATACAATTTAAAGTAAATAAAATGGTTGTTTTGATTTATGTGCTTACTTTAATGTATATACTTTTATATATACAAATTACTTTTTAAATATGTAGTTTCTAATATGTCATTTGATCATGGCATTCTGCGAATTACACTTCTTCAAATCAAAGTTTTTTTTAATATTGGAAGCATATATATATATAGTTTCATTCAAATTAAATAATTTAATCTTGATATTTATTCCTAAAATGCTTTTAATGAAATATCATGACAAGTCCAATCACATTCTTTTGAGTTTGTTCAAAAAATGAGATATTTGATCATTCATCTAATATTTATTTATCCATAATACCCAAATGTAGCTATTATAATTTATCCGAACAAGAGTTATGATCTTAGTACATTGGGATTTTGTTATAATCTGAACCGAACTGAAATCCGAACTAGGTCCGATGATATCTGAAATTAGTATAATATGTTAATATTTTTTTATATCAAGGTAGTTTAGATATTTTATTGTATTCAAAAGATTTTGTAGTTTGTTTATTTTTTTATTATGAATATCATTTAGTTAGTTTAGATCATTTAACTAATTTTAAATTATATTTACGAATAATTTATATATTTTGACAATGGTTTTTCAATTTTGAGGTTTCAAAAATATTTTTTGAGACTATTTCAGATTTTGGTTATAATCTGATCAAAACCAAATCGAGAAGGAACCGAACCGAAACCAATCCGATAATTAGTAAAACCTAAATGGGTCTGAAAAGCCTAATACCAAAAATTTAAAAACTCGAATCAATCGAACCAAAACCGACGGATCTCCGAGTGCCCATACATCTATTCTATTAAAATAGAATCATTCTTTTTATCTACTGATACAAGTTGTCATTTAAATTTGGACCCTTTCTAGAGTGTTACAAATAATACAAGTTATATAGTTGATTGAACCGCATTACTTAAATTAAACCGGCAGTTATTTATGGAATAGAGTTTTGGGTTTACTTTTGTTTTTATGACATTTAATTGTTTGGTTTTTGGGCTTAGTGTTAAAGAAAAACTCCAAAAAACATTAAATAAACTTTCCACCTTAATGGATCAAAAATCAATTACTATTTTCAGGCCCAAAAATATTTAATATTTTCAATAAAAAAGAAATTATCTATTATTAATCACTTATTTAAATCATGTACTTTAAAACATGTTAATATTTTTAGCCCAAAAATATTTAATATTTTCAACAAAACAAAATTATCTATTATTAATCACTTATTTAATCATGTACTTTAAAACATGTTTAATATTTTTTATTTTAAATAACAATCACTCTATCTTGATAAATTTTAATGGTAACTTTTAAATAATTTATTGTTTTATTTTCTTAAATAATTTACAGATTTAAAAAAAATGTAAAGCAAAACCAAAAACCAAATCTAAAAACTAAAATCCAAAACCAAAAGCTGAAAACACATGTTATATTTTTTGCTTTTTTTATTTATAAAATAAACTATTTCAAAATTTTTTAAAAATTATTTTGTCATCTTTTCAGTTTTAAATTACATGTTCGATTAATTGAGATTTGTTTGTTGGTAATATCAGTTCAAACTAACTAAGCGGGTCTAAAAAATAAAAATCCAAACGAAATAGAAACTTAAAAACTAAAAACCAAAATTTAAAACAAAATCTGAAAATAAAAACTGAAACTAAAAACTAATGAAAAACAACTATCACCGCAAATTTTGGTAAACTAATTTTATACCAAAATATTCTTTAAATTAAGACAAAACCCAATTATATAAATTTTTAATCATAAAAAATTTCCGTGCTTTTCAAAGACGGATCAAAATCTAGTATGATATATTTAAGAGACCATTATTTATATTCGTCATTTTACAATCAATAAAGATTATAATGTTACAAAATATTAAAACTGAACAAACATTAATATAAAAACACACCATGCGTATGCACACTGGTATCATCTAGTGAATATTAAACGCAATGGGTTGATACTTGATACTATTTCCTATAATCATATAATGAGTTAACAAAAAACTTTTTGCTAAATATGAGTTAACAATTTTGTATAAAAATCTATTGAAGAGGCCATGTTATTTAATGGTTTTGGAAAAATATCTTCACCAAATAAATTACATTACTTGATTGATAGATCCATTAGATTGGTTGTTAATGATTTACTACCAAATAAGTTTATGTGTTACTAGTTTAACGCGCTAACAATAAAGAATTCATGGACAAACTGATATCTCCAAAAGGATAAGGAGATATCAGTTTTAACTATTATATTATATTATCTAACCTCTCAAACCACAAAATCATGTTTTGTTTCTCCTAATATATCATGGCACAATTGTTTGTTTCTTTCAAATTTGTTGCCCATACAATGGTCAAATGCAATTGCCACGTCTTATCATTCAAAACATAAAACGAGGTTTGTTCACTATTACATAATCTTCTAAATAATTCATTCGAAGTAAAGGTTACCTGTTAAACCTTGTGATTGCATTATAGTTCACTACAATTTTGAATTTGTCTATCCACCTCTTTTTCTACCTACTCTTCCTAACAGAAAACTATGATTTGTTTATAAGAGAATGCTTTACTCATAATCATGAGATTTTAAAAATCCTTTAAAAATAAAATTATATTTTGGAAAAAATAGATGAATTACCATCTACAAAGCCATCATTGCGGTAGCTGAAGAGGAAACATTCACATGAAAGTGTAAGAGATCTTATAACATTCTTAGATACCTGTTTCTGCTTCTCTCTCTTTCTCCCTTTGCCAAAGTATCTCTCTCTCTTGCCCAAACCACTCATTGTCTTAATGAGACCCCTTTGAGCTGTTGCTGCCTCTTTGTCTGTTTTTCAAAAATGGGTCTTTAGATATCCATACGGTTCTTGGATCTGGGTTGTTCAGAGCTCAAAGCTACTTCATTTGCATCTTGAACTTTGTTTAGGGGAAGTCAGATTAGAGTTTGGGGAAGAGACAAAAAAAAATGGCTCCAAGGTTCGGTTTTTCAGATTTGTGGGCGAAAGAAACGAGGAAAGGCACACCAGTTGTGGTCACAATGGAGAATCCCAATTACTCCATCGTTGAAGTGGATGAGCCAGACGGTGCGTTCAGACCAATGGAGAGGAGTAGAGGGAAGAATGTTAAGCAAGTGACTTGGGTTTTGCTTCTCAAAGCTCACAAAGCCGTTGGTTGTCTCACTTGGCTAGCAACAGTCTTCTGGTCTCTCCTTGGTTCGGTCAAGAGACGTCTCTGTTTCACTCACAGGCTTGGCTCTGAGAGACTTGGCAGAGACAGATGGCTTTTCTCAGCCATTAAGCTCTTCTTAGCTGCTTCCTTGTGGGTTCTTGTCTTTGAGTTAATTGCTTATTACAGAGGATGGCATTACTTCAAGAACCCTAGCCTTCATATTCCGACAAGCAAACTTGAGATCCAGAGCTTGTTTCATCTGCTCTACGTTGGTTGGTTAACCTTAAGAGCTGATTATATTGCTCCTCCGGTTAAAGCCCTCTCCAAGTTCTGTATTGTACTGTTCCTTGTGCAGTCTGTAGATCGTTTGATTCTTTGCTTGGGATGTTTCTGGATCAAGTACAAGAAGATTAAGCCGAGAGTCATCGTTGAAGAGTCTTATGATGATGTTGAAGGAGCAGGATCTGAGTATCCAATGGTTCTTGTTCAGATACCAATGTGCAATGAGAGAGAGGTATGTAGTGTAGAACAAAGTATCAATATTTCTCTTGTTTTCTTTTATTGAAGTTACATTCTTGTGCAGGTGTATGAGCAATCTATATCTGCTGTGTGTCAGCTAGATTGGCCAAAAGATCGAATACTGATTCAGGTTCTAGATGATTCGGATGATGAAAGCATACAGGAGTTGATTAGAGCTGAGGTTACTAAATGGAGTCAAAAGGGTGTCAATATTATTTACAGGCATCGCTTGGTTAGAACTGGTTACAAAGCTGGTAACCTCAAATCTGCAATGAGCTGTGATTACGTGGAAGCTTACGAGTTTGTTGCAATTTTCGATGCGGACTTTCAACCTAACTCAGATTTTCTTAAACTGACCGTTCCACATTTCAAGGTAAATTAGTACTCCTGGTTTCTTGAAAAATGTTACTTATACATTTTTTACACAGATTAAAAAAAAATGATTGAAATGTATTTATGTTCTTATTAATTTCACATTTCAAAATCTGTAAGATGAATTTTAGTATTTAGTTTGGTTTGTGTCATGAGAGACAAAAACCATTTTGTTTGTTTGTTTGTTTCAGGGGAAGCCAGAGTTAGGTCTGGTACAGGCTAGGTGGGCGTTTGTGAACAAAGACGAGAACCTGTTGACACGTCTCCAGAACATCAATCTTTGTTTTCATTTTGAGGTTGAGCAGCAAGTTAATGGTGTCTTCTTGAATTTCTTTGGCTTTAATGGAACTGCTGGTGTGTGGAGAATCAAAGCCCTTGAGGAATCTGGAGGTTGGCTTGAAAGGACAACCGTTGAAGATATGGATATAGCTGTTCGAGCTCATCTTCATGGATGGAAATTCATATACCTAAACGATGTCAAGGTATTAATATTATATCTTAGTCACAGTTTCATGAATGTAAGATTCACTGAAGCAAAAAAAAAAAAAAAAAAACAATATGTTTGTTAGGTTCTTTGTGAAGTTCCTGAGTCATATGAAGCATACAAGAAGCAGCAACACCGATGGCACTCTGGACCTATGCAGCTGTTTCGCTTGTGTCTTAAATCAATCTTGACCTCTAAGGTTTGGTTTTGTGATGTAATCTTCTGGTCATTTTCAAATGATTTATTAATAAGTTTGATCTCTTCTTTGCAGATTGCAATGTGGAAGAAAGCAAATTTGATACTTTTGTTTTTCCTTCTAAGGAAGCTCATACTACCTTTCTACTCCTTCACATTGTTCTGTGTGATCCTTCCAATCACAATGTTCGTTCCAGAAGCTGAGCTTCCCGTTTGGGTTATCTGCTATGTACCGATATTCATGTCATTGCTCAACATTCTTCCTGCTCCAAAGTCTTTCCCTTTCATTGTTCCTTACCTCTTGTTTGAGAACACAATGTCAGTCACCAAGTTCAACGCCATGGTATCTGGACTGTTCCAACTTGGTAGCTCTTACGAATGGATTGTAACAAAGAAAGCAGGAAGATCATCAGAGTCTGATCTTTTGGGTCTCACTGATAAAGAGATGCCACCACCAAGCCAAATGCTAAGAGGAGTTTCAGACAGTGAGCTCTTGGAGATAAGCCAAGTTGAGGAGGAGCAGAAGAAGAAGAAGAAACAAACAGTTACTGTGAAGAAAACTAATAAGATATTCCACAAAGAGCTGGCTCTGGCTTTTCTGTTGCTCACCGCAGCAGTTAGGAGTCTGTTGGCCTCACAAGGAGTGCATTTCTACTTCCTGTTGTTCCAAGGTCTCACTTTTCTTCTTGTGGGTCTCGACCTCATAGGCGAGCAGATGAGTTGAGAAACAACTGATGATGATGGTTGAAGATGCAGTTAAACTATGTGAGTTTCCTCCTCCTATTTTGCTAATGTTGGAGCCATAATTTGTAGGATATTTGTTGATTTTAAATTTGGTTATATCTCTCCATTGTGATTAATTAATCCTTGTTAGGTTAGAGTTTAAGCTACAGTTATACTCACCCCTCTCTATATCTGTAGTATCTACAATAGTCAGGAACTTGTTGCTTATGTCTGAAATACATTGCTGTTAAACAGACTTACTACATCTATCTTCCTTTTTCAAAAATAAAGAAAAAAAAATAAAAATAAAGAAACTAGAGAGAAACATTATCTGATCTGACAAATCACAAAACTGAACAAGAATATTTTTTTTAAAGTATATATTTTTCTCTGAATGTGAACTCATTTGAGTCTGTCAAAACGTGAAGAGAAAGTTGTCGGTTGAAACAGAAGAAACATTAGGCATTTTTCAGAGCCAGAGCTGTCTAAATCATAATACTGACATCAGCACAGTGATTTAGAAATCAATGGAACCAAACGAAATTGATCTATGGGCACACTGATTAAGGATCTCGTGAATTTAGTGGTTACACTCTTGGATTATCTACTATGGATAGTTGCATTGAAAGACATATATATATTCCGGAAACATGCAAGAGTCTGATTAGGAAAAAACATTAAGGACGTAGTGCTGATTTTGTCCGAGTAAGATATGCAGTGCTGATCTTGAAGGGAAGCAAGTTTTTTTTTAATGTAAAATATGATCAAAATATTTGATAAAACATTATGTAGTTTTATTTTGGTAAGAAATTGGGAGAAACTCCTAATATTTATTCAAAAACAAACTTCAGTTTACACATGAGGTAGTCGTGGCCAGGGAGGTCTAATAAAATATTATGTAGTTTTTAAAATAGAGATATAGATACTAAGTTTAATTCCTAACTATAATAATATGTTTTTTTATTATTAATTGCTTTCGGTCTATAAATATTCAGGGTCGACACTGCAGATATGAATTTATACGGAAAACTAACAAACAAAATCTGGAAAGAAGTCAGATGTATATAGTCTATCTTTATACAAACTGCTGAACATTTTTTTATAATTTAACTTCAAGCAGCAAAGTTTTGATCTCTTAACAAACTGATTTATCTTAACTTAAAAGAGAGATTTTATCAAAAACAGTTAATCTGCATCCACCGAGAAATCCGGTTCTTCCGGTTTAGGAAGCATTGGTACTTCCACGTCCTTCATCTTACGGGAAGCCCTCCTCGTGTTCTTAGCAAACCTCGAAGCAAGCACCGTTGCTGCAAAATGTGGTTTCCCAATAGAAGTATGATGTCGCGATGGAGTACTGCTCTGTCTCTCTTCTTGTTGACTCATAATCTCCTCAGCTGCAGCAGCTGCAAGAGCTTCTTCCTCTTCATAAGAAGAGTATGACTCAGCTAAGCTAAGACTCTTAGCCAACATTCTCCTCTTATACCGTCTCCAAGCCACTTGCACGAAGCATGCAGCCCATGTTCTCCATTGGTGAGAGTAGTAACGGAATGTGTGTTGCAGCTTCTTGCTATGTAAACGTCTGAACTGGTTTGCCACAAACTTGAGATCCTCTGCTTGTAAAGCAAACGCTTCAACTTCTTCTAAAGCTCGAACCGTTCTTGTAGATGATGGTAAGTTTACTTTTGATTTTGGAAGTAAAGCCCAAGCAAGAAGCTCTTCTCCACAAAACTCTCCTGGTTTGAGTGTGATTGAGTTGAAGAAACCTGTTCTGCCTCCATTAGTCGTCGAGCTTTCAAGCTTCCCACGGATGATGAAGAGCATTTCCGTCACTGGATCACCTTCACGTACAATGTAGTTCCCTTGTGTACTTAGAGATGACACTAAACGTTCGCATATCGCGTCTAGTAATTGATCATCCATTTGCGCAAATAACGGTACCTGGAAAGAAAAACATTACACGAATGAATCTATTAGAGACAAAGTCTCCCACATCCTACAAGTGTGTGTGTGTTTTTTTTTAATTTCTAGAGAAGTTTTTTTTTTAGTTGAGTGATGAATACACTTACACGACGAACAAGGTCGAGACAAAGATGTCTTTGGATATCTCTTCGAAGATCTGCAGGTAATGAATGAAGAATGGTCTCTTCGTCAACTCCTCTAGTAGCTAACCATTTGTACTGAACGAAACGTCTCACTCTTTCTCTAAGGTTCTGAGGTAATTGACGATGTCCCATCCATTCTTCTGTGTCTCTTCTCTTCAGTCTCCACTCTTCAAGCCTCACCGTGATCGATTGCAAGTACGTCTAAAATACATTTAACCAAAACATAATATCAAATGAAATAAAATTGATTCTGACGTTATTAATAACTGATAAACAAAATTCACTTCTTCTTTTTTTTTTTTACCTGCATGTTTCCGATTAAAAGAGCAAACAAAACCAGACCAAAGATAGCCACGAGGATAGCGAACATTGTCTCAAGAACTGATGTACTTGTTTCAAGATTCTGTCCGTAAGAACTTTTAAAACAATAAAAGTTGTGTTAGAAAAGAATATGCTAAAAAACCTATGTAAAGGAGATTATTAAGTGTCATGAATGAATCTACCTTAGATTCTGGAGACCAAACCATAGGCAATACAAATATTTCTCCAAGAAGGGAGAGGAGACGACATTTTTGGTGAGAGCATCCGCAAAAATGCCGAAAGTGAACCGTATCTTGTTAGAAGGATCACAGTTGCTGAAGACAACAGTTACATTCTGCCAGTTATTCCGATCATCTCGGTTCAATGTGCCACAGTCAAAGAAATCTGTAATGCATTGTATTGGAGCTAATTCTTTACGACATTCTGCTTTCCAACACGTTGCTTGCCTCTCTATCGACAGTAGATACCAGGCCGCACCAAGAATCTGCACAGCATAACCAAATATTTGAAAAAAATAAACATAAGATTAAACCGAGCTGGTTCTAATCCCAATGCTTCAGCTTCTCAAACTTTAGCAATAGGTCTATTATAAATTATAATCAGGATGAAACTGAGCATAGTACAATGATACATTTGTCTTGATCTCCACCTTCTAAGGAATCAATATACGTATATAAAATTTTCAAAGCCCCAAACTATTATTATTATTAAGAAAATACAGATTATTAAGCTTTACGCTAAAATGTTTATAATCCCAATTTTAAGACTGACCCTGATTATTAACTACACTAGCCCTAGGGCCTAGGCTATATAGGTCTGCCCATGAAGAAACGATTAAAAAGGCACACATTAATTTTTCTGGCTCTTATGGGTTGGTTAGAGAGCATTTAGTGAGTCTCTCACTAATTGAAGTCTCTGCTTATGGGTTTGGTGAACTGAATTAAAGTTTAGCAGTTAATTTCATAGGGTAACTCACATGGCTAGCGAGCATATACTGAAGAAGGTTGTAAGCAGCACCGGCCCAAGCGGTGGTTGTAACAACTCCTGTCGCTTTGATAATCTCAGCACTTAAAGGGAAAATAAGATAAAGCCTAGGAATGTATTGAACTAGAACTATGAGGACAAGTGCATTTGTTGTATGATCTGAGTGAGAGCTTCTGATTGATGGCAAGATAAACCAACTAACAATCTGCAAATCAAAGTAGACACAAATTTATAATACATATATATCTCAAACTCTTAATTTTAAAACAAGTAAAAGATTTTGCTGAGTAAACCAAGTGGGGTATTAGCTTTATCTGAGGTGGGGCTTACCACAGAAAAATAAAAAAAACATAAAAGACAAAGATTTGGTGAGTAGTAATAAGTAGTACCTGAGGAAGAGGCAAACAAGCGATGAGATCAACAATGAAATCTGATCTCAAGTATCTTCTAGCAATCAACTTAGGATCTTTCACAAGTTCTCCACGACCAAACACTCTTGAAGTACGAGAAACATAAGCTGTTCTAAACTTGATGACAATGTGCAAGACGTAGAAGAGATCCGCTAGTGTTCTGAAGAAAGTAACAACAATTCCAAGCTTCAAATCTGTGGTCATACAAGAGGATCGACCAGTTTGTTTGACTGAAGATAGGAAGAAGAACAAAGGGTCTACGTAGAGAGCAACGAGACACCAGAAGAGGAAGACTCTGTTCCATTGAAGCACTGCGTCACCACCAGGATCAAGAATCTTGTCTCTCTCAATCTCGAAGTTCTCGGGGAACACTTTGAATCCACCGAATCTTGGGAGTTTGAAGAGACGGGTTTTGTTACTCTTCTTTGGGATTCCTAACTCTGGTTTTAGAAATTGAGTTGTTGATGGTTTGAACATTGGTAAGGGCAGACGCTTCTCTGTTGTTTCTAGGGTTTGCTTCTCCTCTCCATAGAATCTGTGTCAAGACCAAACAATAACAAAAACTTGGGTTTAACAATGAGGATCAAGAAGAAGAAAAAAAGACAACTGTAATCTCATTTTTACTTCTTTTTCGAATGAAAATCAATAACCTAATAACTTTACAAAAAAAAAAAAAAAGGAAAATCAATAACCAAATACAAAGTCCAATACAATGCAATGTAGAGAGAAAAATTAGAAAATTGCAACAAAAGAAATTTAAATAAAAACTTTATTGGGATTGCAAATGCAAAAATGTCAACTTTTACCATCATTGAGAATCATAAAAATCCAAAAACTTTTTCTTTTTTTACTTTCTGTAAAGCTGTTTAAAAGGAAAATTTAGAACCTGACAGTATTGTCTCTTTTGAACTCCATGTTTTTTGAAGTTGATAGCAGTAGCAAGAAGAGTTTCTTCTTGTTCTTGTTCTTAAGGCAATGAGAAACGAATCAGAGGATGGGATATTGAGTTGACGTATTCATGTTCAGAAAATGGAAGAGGGAAAGAGAAAGAGAGCATGGGCTGTAACAGATTTATTGAGTTTGACTTCACGTGAAACAACAAAAGAACTGAAGCTAGAGAGAGAGAGAGAGATTATTAATTAAAACAGCTCATGTTATGCTCTCTGCCAAGGAGACGTAGAACGAGTGAAAGACTCCTACTACTTGTTGTCTTTGATTAATTTTAAATGTTTTCTTGGAAATCGAAACAAAGAGAGGGAACGTGCGTTCCATTAAAGCCTATTAATATTTTTTATGGAGATGGATGAACAACAGTTTCTGCCTAGGACTATTCTCTTGTAGTAGCAACACTCGTTGTGTAGAAAGATCCATGAATCACTCGAACTAAAACCAATAGAAAATTTTGTATTTATATGTAAACTATAAAAAGTTATATCGGTAAAGATGAGATCAGTTCTGACGGGTTTCTGATTCCTTTAGATCTCAATAATCCCTTTAGAATTGTTTTACCCAATTTTTAAATATTTTGAACGAAAGATTAAATAATACGATGACGCGGTTATAGCAAAAGAGACTTACGTTGTTAATTAATTTAAATATGATATGATGATAAAAGGGAGAATCGTTTGTGCTCATTATTTGTTTGTGAGACTCAACGAGCTTGGACTCTTATGGTCTTAAATCCGCATGCTTGGCCGACCTGTACTCAAAAATTGAGTTGGAGCTGGTTGTATAAATACTTCTAAAAGCTAATGATTCCCTCCCTTATCATTGCAAAGAATGGGATTTACTTGCACACAGACACACAATTATAACTTATACGAGTGTAAGAGTGGAAAGACACGATGAAATCAGTCTATCAAATCTCAATCAGCATGACTGAGTATTTCTATAAAAGTGGCCATTTGTGTTTTCTTCCCTGAATTGTTTCTCATCATATTATCGGTCAGATATGTGAAAAGAACGATTTGCTAGCAAAACAAAGATTGAAATAAAGATATAATTTGTTCTACAAAGATATAAATTAGTTTCAATGTCCAGAGTAGCTTTTATATGTTGTTCGTCTACTACACACAAGATTTGAAGGTCTCTAGGATAAGCAGCGCAACTTGGAAATCTATTACTATTAAAAGGGCTTATTCTAGCCATATTAGAGTGTCCACATAGACAATTTTAATCAACCAATAATATCCTTCCAAAGCTCCACATCAGCTTTGGTTTGGTATCTGATTATGGTTCTAAAAAATATTGATTTTGGTTTGGTTTTCTGAACTATATTGGTTTTGTTTCTGTCGTAAACACTTTATGAACAGTNATCTATTACTATTAAAAGGGCTTATTCTAGCCATATTAGAGTGTCCACATAGACAATTTTAATCAACCAATAATATCCTTCCAAAGCTCCACATCAGCTTTGGTTTGGTATCTGATTATGGTTCTAAAAAATATTGATTTTGGTTTGGTTTTCTGAACTATATTGGTTTTGTTTCTGTCGTAAACACTTTATGAACAGTGGTTTGCTTTTGTCGGCATAATCAGATGAGTTTCTAGACCCTCCCTCTCCTTTCGACTTCCTCGCCTCCGATCTCTTCTATTCCGTTTTCTCCATTAATCTTCAGTTCCTCCCACTTCTGTGCTAATCAATTTTCTACTTCAATCCTTCTGTTTATCTCATTCAATGGGCTTCTCCCTTCACCTCCCTCCCCTAGATTATATTTATAGATCTCCCCTCTTTGCTTTTGTTCTCCTTCCGATTAAACCAAAAGGAACCTAACGAACGAGAAGAACGTATATTAGTATCACACCACAAGACCACGCGTCAGCCTTACCTCCGTCATATCCTCACCGCGAAATAACCTCCGGAGCTGTATAAGTCAGCGTACCGCGTCTAGCTGAGACAGCTCGGATCTCTCGCAATCCTTCGGAGGTATAACCTTTTACTAAACCCTTTACGTTTTCTCTATATACTGAGTTCTCACATTGTTTCCTTTTGATGTTTCAGATTGAGGAATGTGGACCTAAGATTCGTCAAGTTATTGACTGGTAATTGAATCGAAACACGTGTCTGTAGGTTGTTTTGTGTTGTCTAATGTTTAAAGTTATTGTCTTTTCTGAGATGGTTTTGTGAATTGGTGTGAAAAATGCAGGTTTGGTCGCTTCAACAAGTTGATGTTAACAGTGTGGAGCCAGCGATTAGAGCAGGTTTTTGTTTAAGTACACAACTTTCTTCTTTGATTTGGTGTGTTTGTATCTTTCTTTGGTTTTGTTTTGTAGTTGTAATGCTTTGATCATATGAAACATTCGTGAAAGATTGAAACTTTGGGGAAGAAAGAGCGTACAATAGCTAAGATTTGTTGCATCCACTTGAGTGATGAATCAATGAGTTTGATCATGTTTAAAGTAGACTCATGTGGACAGATCTTTATAAGCAATGTTGATCGGAGATTAGTGCCTTTTTATTATCTAAGCACATTCTCTTGGTAAAATCTGAGTAGGCATATTAGTTTTAGTTCGTTATGTTTTGCTCATATGAAACATTTATGAAAAAGTGAAACTATGGGAGAAGAAAGAATAAGCATTTTCTGAGTTTCGTCTCATAGACTGGGGAGTGTGTGTATTATAGGTATCTTGACTGAAATCAATGACAATACTGGTTGTAGGCAAGTAAGATTTGTTGCATCCATCTTGGTTTTCACTGTTGTAAGAGGTCTACTTATCAGTTCTGATCCGTTTGACAAGTGGAAATATATAACTCTGCCTATTTCAATGTCTTGATCCTTATTGATCTTTTGGGAAAACTTGTAGAAATGGAAGGTGGAAATATGCGAGAGGATGCGTCAGAAACATTTGAGAACAGGTTTGATCTTCATATATAGTTTACTTTTCTCCATCTTTAATAGTAGAATTGATTCTGGCTCCATCAACTAAAGTTTTGATGTTCCTTATGCAGGGATAGTATAAGAGCTTCGCTTCCAAGCTTTGATGAGGTGTATTTAAAAGTACCTAAAGTACTAAACAAAGAGTGACTATGGAAAAGGAATCATAGTTTATCTTCTTATGATATTTAGCTTTATATATTGTGAATCTTTGTCTGTGTGTATGTATGTATTTTTCTACAGCTTCTATAGATTGTGTGGCTGAAGAGATTCCTTTCAGTTCCGGTTCTTGTTACAACATCTGTGTTTTTTTTTTCTTTTAATTTGGTCGAAATGGTCATGTGTCAAGTCCAACATAGACTATTCTCTACAGCTTTCCAGTCTCACCTGGGATTGAAGAAACAACTCTTGCATACTTGGTATACCCTTAATATTTCCTTTGATTATATGGCGTGTTACTGGCATGGCTCTCTATAGTTTGTTTGTTGAAGTAAATACCTATAAACTATTTTTTTCTCTATTTTCAGAGAGCAGTTGAAGAGGGCGCAGACTTCATTGAAACAGATGTCTTATAATCTAAAGATGGTGTGCTTATCTATTTCCATTATTTCATCCTTGACAATACAACCAACGTTGCCAGCCACAAGGAGTTTGCTGATCGTTACAGGACTTATGACGTCCAAGGATCCAACTAGACTGGTTTTTTCACTTGTACGTTCCAACCTTGATTCTTCTTTTGTCTTTTTCATATCTGAGTGGATGCATTCCAATAGGTTTCTCTTTGATTTGCTAACACTTGATTTTACACTCTAAGAATTACAGAAACTAAGGACAAAACAGAGATTTTATTTTCGAGACCAGCAATACAACGGTTAGCTAATCCTTTCTTTCCTGGATACAGCTGTTAGAAGAAACATCTAACCATGTCCTTTTGCTCTTTTTCCAGGAAAGTACATCATTACATTTGAAGAGTTCATTACCATTGCTCGGGATGCTCCACGAGTTGTCGGTATATATATCCCGAGATTAAGAATCCAGTTTTAATGAACCAGCATGTGAGTTACAATCCTACAAGATTGACTTCTACTTTTACTGCAGAAACGTGGTAACTTTTTTTATGTGAATAAATTTTGTGAATAAATTTTTAGTCAATTGGTTACCAATTTATATGTATTTTGATAGTGAAAAAAAAATGAATTTTACTAATTGTATAATTTTAGTCACCAAAAACAATACAAAAAATTTCATTTTAACAGTTTATATATATTATTTAGTATAAGTATAAAATATATAATCAAATATACTATATAATAAACTAAGCAAAATTAAAATATAGGGAAAAAACCCGGGCGTAGCCCGGGAAAAGTCTCTAGTNTTGATAGTGAAAAAAAAATGAATTTTACTAATTGTATAATTTTAGTCACCAAAAACAATACAAAAAATTTCATTTTAACAGTTTATATATATTATTTAGTATAAGTATAAAATATATAATCAAATATACTATATAATAAACTAAGCAAAATTAAAATATAGGGAAAAAACCCGGGCGTAGCCCGGGAAAAGTCTCTAGTCTTTGTTAAAAATTTGTGAGTCTTTCCAAGTGAATAAGTAAAAAGACTGTAGATGCATATAACCTTTTAATAAGAGACATGCAAAACATTGTCTAAACTATGCACCGATTCTGCCATTAAAAACATTTAAAGCCCGGAAGGACAGAAGAGTTTTGAAGAAGGCGACATCAGAGCTGATGAAGTTTTCAAACCAACGCAGCGGAAGCAGTAGCAAGTAGAGATCCACAACGTTCTAAGCTATTACGAAGATGACATTGCAGGTCAAAGAAGAAACCGCAAGCAGAGCAGAAAAGTAACGGCAGTAGAAACCCGAAGAAAAAAAATAGAGATCCACAAAGCAGCAAGCTATTATGAAGATGACATAGCAGGTGAATCAATTAACGAAGAAACTTCAGTGCAGAGCAGAGAAGCAGAGATAAGCAATGAAGCAGTAGATAGCCGAAGAAACAAGTAGAGATCCACAAACTATTATGAAGATGCCATTGCAGAAAAATCAATTAACGAAGTAGTCTCAGCCTCTCAGAGCAGAGTAGAGAAGCAGAGATAAGCAATGAAGCAGTAGAAACCCGAAGAAACCTCGGACACAATTAAACAAAACACTCAGAATTTCAATTATGTTTATGTCTTTTAAGAACTTGGGGTAGGAATATTAAAAGTACTTTACCTAACGGCAGACACAACTACTGCTTCATATCCAAACGCAAATAAGAAGCATGATCCAGCAATTCAAAAGTAGCAAGCACATCCCAACAGCTAAAACATGTTTCTCTTAGTGAGATTCACAGATACTAATTTCCCTTAAGCTGCCCTCTTGACGTCGCAAGAAAACAGTTGTTTTCTGATCCCTCAACACTTTAGCTACGGCTTCTGCGCACATCTTTCAGACCATTTCTGCATAAATAGATACAAAAAAACGTATGAGCAACATGAACTTGGTATTTAATACAACACCTAACCAGAGGGATCAATATGCATGCAAAGATATGAGACATCCCTTCTTACACATAGAGTAAAGACTCGGTTAAAAGAGAGTTTACCCATTAGTATATGGCACCTCCTCACGTGCTCTATAAGGTGGCGGAGACCTACTGTAGTTGCGACCACGAGGAGAAGGACTGCGACGTCTTGGAGGAGGAGGAGATCTTGCACGAGGGCTGTAACTCCTGAAACCAAAACAAAAGTTCCGATCTATTTTTTGAAAGCTTCAAAATCACAAATAAGAAAAGAAGAAGGACAACGAACCTGCGCCCTCCATAGGTTGGGCTCTTTCTGTATCTTGGAGGACTGCGGCTACGGCTGCGACCACGAGGAGAAGGACTACGACCCCTCCGAGAGCCACCACCACCACCACCACGAGAACGACATTCACGTGCAAAGTGACCAGACTCGCCACACTCATAACACTTCAAATCAGAACCACCACGGCCACGGCCACCATCACCTCCTCCACGACCACCCCCACCACGGCCTCCTCCACCACCACGGTTATGAGACTGCTCTACTCTCCATCCATTCTTGCCTACCACAAAACAGTATATCAAATTCTTAAACCCACATAATAACACAGTAGCAGCACTGCAATAACACACAAAAAGCCCCCTCTTTCTACCATCTAAGTCACGGATGGCGTCACGGGCATCCCTTGAGTCTTCAAAATCAAGAAAAGCGTAACCAGGTGGTCGTCTTGCAACCCAAACACTGTACAAACACCACAAAAAGAACAATTAAAAATGCAAACTTTGAATCAACAACAATTGGTGTATACAAAAGCTATAGGTAATCAAATTGTATACCTCTTGATGACTCCATAGACACGAAACTCATCCTCGAGTTCACGCTCAGTAACTCGCGGATCCAAATTACCAACGTACACACGAGACATCTGGTTAATCACCTCATCAATATTAAAAAAAAAAAACTTTGGAAGCTATCTCTCGATCTCTCGATCCAATTAAGATTCTATGGAATATATAATAAACGCTATCAGATTCAATTGATCGAAGAAAGAGATCCTGTAAACGGAGATCGGGATCACCTGAAAGATCAGCGGTGGTGAGAAGAGCGAGACGGCGTCTCCTGAGATGTGCGAAATTAGGGTTATCGAATTTGAGAGTGGAGATAGGAATTTCAATCAGAGAGGGTGTGGGTAGGGTCGACTTTAAAGTTGTCATTACTTACTTTGGGCTCTACATGGGCCCATTCTGTCACAATAATTGTCTCAATGAACATTTTTTATTCCTTAGGGTTCATCATGGGCCTCAGTCTTTTGAATTTTTGTTTTACGAATAGAAATGTATCGCTTAAATTTAGTTTATGGGTTTTATCCAAACTAAAAACTAAATTGGAAAGTTTTAAAATTAAAATCATGTTTGTAATAATTATCATTTCTATTCTGCATAATTTTTATGGCTGATTAAATTATCAATACTATTAAAACTGAAGGACTTTTTTTAAGTCCCCTTCTTTTTTTTTTTTTTTTTTACAACGAACGGGTGATCTGTTACTCAAGTTTGAAGTGGTCTGAGAATCCAGACCGGAATAGAACAACCAACATACACCAATTCTCGATAGAAAGATCGAGCAGTCTTAGCTAGGGAATCGGAATATCCATTATGTGACCTAAGAACATAGAAAATCTTAAAATCTGGAAAGCAAATCCGCAACGTCGTTAGCTTTTCCAGTTCCGTTGAGAAGCTTGGCCAATCCTGTGGATTCCTGAGCATTGTTATCATCTCCTTGCAATCCGTCCCAAAGCTCTGGCATGGCGAATGTTGAAGCATATTCTCCATTGCCCACCGCAGTGCTTCCAGCTCAGAATGCAAAGCAGACTCCACTCTATCGAAATTGCGCATTCCCATCAACTGATTGTTCCCATATTATCATTCCATACCCATCCGCATCCACTGAACTGAGCTGTAGAAGTCCAAGAACCATCCACCAGACATATATTTCCCAGACTTATGGCCTGATTGTCAACATCCACATTTACTTGAGAGGATAAAGAAATTTGTTCATTGTCTTGAAACTATGCTTGGCATTTACTCTCTGCATAACGAGATAACTCCAATGGGTCTCTATCAATCCCTTTGAACAATTTGTCATTCCGAGCCTTCCAAATGTACCATATAAGCCAAGGATAAGGATCCATGTCTACATCCGGTACTGCTATGGCTTTCTTCCTCCAAAAGAGATAATCCATGTTCGCATATGTGCTCTGAAGTGGAAACAACCTGGGACTAGTAGGCGTCGACGATAAGGCCCAGACTTGCTGCGCAGGTGGACATAGGAAAATGGCATGTGTAATTGATTCCTTTGGTTCTCCACTTCGTGGACAATAATTGTCACACCTTATATGTCTATGGTTCAGGGTACTTGTAACAGCCACATGTCCTGTTATTAGTTGCCACATAAGATGGCACATCTTTTGGGGAGCCCGCACCTTCCAAGCTTGTGCTTGTAGTTTAGTAATACTAGGTTCACTAACTACATGCACCTCCTCCTGCTTTAAGAAATTTTGTGCAACCCAATATCCAGATTTGACTGTATATTGTCCATTCCTTGTATAGCTCCAGCAAAATGTATCCCTACGAATACGATGTGTAGAACTAATTGACATACTCTTTATGAGAGGTATATCAGCAGCATTTACGTAGTATTCCAGCCTTGTCGCATCCCAAGTCTTAGTCTCTTTATTAATAAGGTCGCTTACTCTCATGTTTGGGTGCACAACCGGTGCAGCTGGGAACGCTGGTCTCGCTGGTATAGTAGGAATCCAAGGATCCTCCCAAACTTTAACCTCATAACCCGAATGAATCTTTTGTCTAACTCCCAATAAGAGTAATTCCCTTGCCGCCGATAGACTCGTCCACACGTATAATGGGCTACTAACAGTAAGCTGACGCAACGGCGAGCTTAAACGATAATACCGACCTCTCAAAACACGAGCAACTAGGGAATCTGGGTATTGTACCAACCGCCATAACTGCTTTGCTAACAATGCCAGGTTAAATTCATGAATCATCCTGAAACCAATCCCACCTTCCTCTTTAGACACGCATAATTTATCCCAGGTTGACCAGTGAATGCCTCTCTTTGGGGGGTTTGAGCTCCAGCAAAATTGTGCAATGGCACTAACTAAGGCATCACATATCTCCACAGGCAGAAGAAAGCAGGATAAAACATAAGTTGGCAGTGCTAGTAGGATCAACTTGATCATAACCTCCTTGCCACCTTTTGACAGCCACCTACCTGTCCACCCGTTGACTCTATTCCTTAACTTATTCTTTAAAAAAGCAAAGAGCTTGCATTTAGACCCATTGATGTCCTCTGGAATCCCAAGATAAGTTCCCATTCCCCCTTCATTCTGAATCCCAAGGGTATCTTTAATTTCCTGTCTAACATCATGTCCAATCCTCTTACCGAAGAGTAAGGAAGATTTTTCAAAATTAATACACTGACCAGAGGCTTGTCCATATTTCTTGACCACTTTCATTACTTCTTCACATTCACGGGGCTCCACCTTACAAAAGAACAGGCTATCATCAGCAAAGAGAAGGTGAGATACCGAAGGACACGCACGCGTGATGCGCATCTCCGTTATCTTCCCTTGATTCTCTGCGTGATTTAGAAGGCTAACAAGCGCTTCCGTGCACATAATAAAAATGAAAGGGGACAGAGGATCCCCCTGTCTTAGACCTCTCTCTGGAACGATATTCCCTCTTGGCTGACCGTTCATAAGGACCTTATACTTCACTGATGTATGCAGCGCATTATCCAGGTTATCCAGATTTCTGAAAAACCCATCTTCCTCATGGTGGCCTCAATGAAGGACCACTCCATTCTATCATACGCCTTGCTCATGCTTGTTGTAATTGACATCCTCTTATTACATCCACTGGGTTTGGTTCTTAGAGCATGGAACATCTCCTGAGCAATCATAATGTTATCTGAGATCTGCCTCCCCGCAACAATGGCTGACTGGGTTTCTGAGATTCTGTCTGGTAGAAATTTTTTTAGTTTCTGGCATAAGACCTTACATAAGCTGACATTACATAAGCTGATAGGACGTAGCTGGCTCATCTGATTCGGCTTATCGACTTTCAGAATGAGACATATATTGGTTTCATTTAAGCCAGTGGGTATCGTGCCTTCAAACAGGAATTGATTAACCATAAGAGTTAAATCTTCTTTGACGATATCCCAAAATTTCTGGTAAAAAAGCGCAGTCATTCCATCTGGCCTTGGAGCTTTCTCTGGATGCATCGCAAAGAGCGCCACCTTGACCTCCCATTCAGTAACCGGAACTATAAGATTATCATTGTCTGCTGGCGTTATGGTTGTAGAGACTTTAGATAGTGCTTCCCCTATTTCCTCTGGGTTTGATGATTGGAAAATATGTCTAAAGTAATTTGTAGCAATGGCTACAAGTCCCTCTTCATCCTGTACCACATTCCCATCCTCATCCAAAAGTTGTGTAATTCTGTTCCTAGCCTTTCGCTGCTTTGTGAGAGCATGAAAAAACTTTGTATTCCTGTCGCCTTCTCGTAGCCAAAACACCCTGCACTTCTGCTTCCAGAACATTTCTTCTGCCTTAAGAGCATCAGATAATTCTTTTAAGGCCACAACGATCTCCTCAGTAGTAGCATCATCGTTAGAGGATAACTGATCTACATTATCCTTTAACTCTTCGACATTTCGTTCTGAATTAAGGTTGTGTTGTCTCTTCCAATCACTCAGAGCACGTCTACAGCTTGCAATGTGCTCCATAATAGTAGCTTCTGGTGGAAGGTCCGGTGATTTCCATCCCTCAAGGAATACTTGCCTGAGTTCCTCATTATCCAGCCATCGCTTATCAAATTTAAAATTTTTTGATCTTCGTGGCTTTTTTTTTAAAGAATATCAGCTAAAATCGGACGATGATCCGATCCCCACATCCTCATATACTGAACCTTTGAGTGAGGGAATTTGTCATGACAGTCCTCATTACCAACAACTCTATCCAGACGGCATCTAACCGTGACTCTCCCAGCTCTTTTGCCAGCCCATGATAGCATGTTCCCTGTAAAGGGAAAGTCCATCATCCCACAATCACTCAGCATTTGTCTAAAAGCCAGAAATGAGTTGTCCGATCTTTCTCGGCCTCCTTCTTTCTCTTCGTGGCATTTAATCTCATTAAAGTCACCAATCATGAACCATGGTCCATTTCGTGTTGTTGAAAAACGCGTAAGACGTTCCCAAACTAATTCCCTACATTCTAAAATAGGATCTCCATAAACGAACGTCATATAAACCTTTATTCCATCAATGATTGCCTCGATATCAATCATTCTGTTATTTGAAAATAAAATCTTAACTTGAAAATCATCCATAAAAAATAAAGCTAAACCTCCGCTAGTCCAAGTGGCTCAACTGTAAACAAGCGATCAAATCCTAAGTCGGCGTGAATGACTTGCAACAGCAGCCTCCTATTCTTCGTCTCAGAAAGAAACACAAGTCCTGGGCGATGCTTCTGACACATCTCCGTAAGGCGTCGAACTGTGAGGTCGTTTCCTATCCCTCGACAGTTCCAACTGAATGTCTTCATGGATTATGTTTTGATGAGGTATTGGACCTCATCAAACCATCATTTTTGTGTGAGCCAGAATGTTTCTTCCTTGCCATGGAATAAGCTTTTGCCTCATCATCATAGGGATGATCAATGGCCGTAGAAACTGATCGCTAGGCAGGAGAACCGCGGCGAATACGTTCAAACTTTTTGGTGGGAACGCCCCACTGAGCACTCCTTTTATTGGTATGGCGAGTGGTACCATCTCTCCCCGGCTTAGCTTTTACTTTGTCAGCAGCTTTTGCTTTGCGCTAAATGTGCTCAATTTCACTGCTGCTTCTTTGCGCCAATTCCAACTCCACAAGCTCCTATCCTAGCATATCATCCATATTAGCTTCGTCATACTCCATACCAGACTGAGAATTTGTCCTCATGTCCTTCAGAGCCCCAATAACCAGAGCATCTCTTAGAGGACTCGTTGTAATGTCACTTACCGAAGGGAAAGTAATAGCTCTTACAACACTTCTGCTCCGGATTGTAACATGCTCATGAGAGGGTGTGACAATTTTGCT